TGTTATGGTCCATAGTACCAGAATCGCAAGGATATGAATCAACTTTTTTAATTGACCTACTAATTGACCCACCCTAGTATGCATATATATTTACTACATGCCGCTCCTCATGAATGCTTATAATTTTTTCACCTTTTTTGATGCTAATTTTTCTTTATTGTTTTGATATTTGTTTTTTAGTTTTTCAATTCGTTATAATATTTTTTTTTGCATAACTAAATACACTGCATTATTGCATGCAATACTTATGTACATACGGGCATGAGATTTGTTTTTGTTTTAATTAATTGTTGCAAAGAAAGTGAAAATGGCGCGATTCCATTACGTTCGCGAGGCCAATCGCCTCCAATGATACTATTTTATTGTTATTCACCGACAGTGGCGGGAAAATAAATAGGGAAGCAACATTTTAAAAAAGATTGGGATTTTTTTTTGTATGTAAGTATATGTAGCTACCAGAAACCATTTAAGCCCGAATTGTACAAAAAGTAGGAAAATTCGACAAAGTTTTATCAAAATTTCGAACTTTTCAATAAGAGCTTTTGGAAAAAAATTTCGTACGCAGTGAAGTTGGAAGTAGCTAGGACTTGCCGTTGATTTTTGGCAACTTTTTTTTGTTGATGGATGTCGCTCATTTTGTTCCATATAAAGTAATATGTTCGAAAATTTTTTGAAATTCGTCGAGTAAGTTTAAAGTGTAAAGTGACTTTCGAAAGCAGTTTTTATTTCTGAAAATCGAACTTTCCGATACTACTTTTGGTCTGTTTTTAACACGGTGAATGCAGAAATTTCCACTTTCAACTGTATTACCAAAATTAATGACCTGAAAGTTTTACAAAAAAACGCTGTAATTCACATTAAATAGCAACAAAATGTCAAATGCCTTAATATTTAAATAGTTGATATCAGGAGAATAAATTAAATATAAGTACTTTTTTGTACATATGTGATAAACAATTTTCATAATTTTATACAAATTCGCCAAAAATCGTATCACATGGCAACACTCGATTGGTTTGACAGCACTTACAGAAGGAATGAAAATCGCTAGTGAAATTATTGCTCGAGAGCGATTTGCGTAATTTCACTTACCAGTACACCTTGTAATTTTTATTTCCGAAAATGATTTCTGAAAATCTGTAAATCTGCAAAAAAGGACTTTCTGGCTGTTTACAAGGGAAAGAAGACTATCCATTTCGCATTTTTACAGCAAAATTCGTAGAAAAAGCGCCTGCACTTTAACAGTCATTGCAAGTAACTTTCATGCATGCATGCATACGTTTTTAAGTATGTATCTATTAGTATGTATATTTGTATGTGCACAATAAAAGATGTTACTACTTGACGTGAAATGCATACAAAATTTCGAATTAAATACAATTTGATTATCATAGCTCAGTAGACAATAGGCTAAGTGGGAAAGTGGGTGGAGGTGTTCGCCCTTGCCATGCTTTACATGATCTCTATTGAGTGTTTCAAAATCGCTCACGGCTCTAATTGCTATTACTACATACTTATACATATGTACTGGAGAAACAATTGCGTGCACGTGCATGTACGCGCATGTATTATTTCCATGTACAGATATTTTATATGTTATTGCATAGTCGGGCTATTGTGTAACGAACTCGATATCTGATTCTGACATGTCATCTTGTTTGAATTTATGTACTCGTACATGTATGCACATTAGGGTGGTCCAAAAACAGTAAAGTCGGAATTGTAATGCTCTCACCCTCTAGAGTTGTTTTATATAAAACAACTTTTCGTAGAAATAGTATATAATTCTTGAAAATCAATATTTTTCGATTGGAAATCTCTGGTTCTCTTCCGAATACTTTCAACAATAATACCCAGTTATTTATTTTTAAAACTAACGATTTTTCTTTGGACCCCCTTTTGAATTTTTCGGCGTTTTTTTGGGTTTTTGGCGGACCTATAAATTATAGTTGCGATGAAAAAATTGTTGAATAAACCTTTGGGTATTATTAATGGGAATCTTATGCAGATAAAAAGAGTTTTCCAATAGAAAAATATTAATTTTTAGGAATTCTCTACCATTTCTACCAAGAGTTGTTTTTTTTTCACCCATATAAAATACATGGCAAACTTTGGGCGCTTTGAGCGACCTCTAAATATTTTGTGGTTTCAAAATAAAAAAAAATAGGAGTATATTGTTGTTCGGTATAAATAGAACAAACCTAGGGGGTGAGAGCATAAAATTTCCGACTTTACTTTTTCACATGCATTTTTGCACCACCCTAATGCGCATACGTGTATATGTAGTTATGTATATATTCAGTCGGTCATTATCACGATTGAATCTTTATAGCCATTTCAACCGCTCGTTTACTCAAAACATTAAATTTATTACAAAACTATGCAAATTTACATACAAATGCTTATATATGTATGTATGTGCACACATATTTACATATTTGATACTTATTTCTAATTATAATGTGTGCAACAATAAACGTGACACAGTTTACACAAATTGGCATATTCGTTTATTTTTTATTTTTTGTAACGCTTTATACACTATAATATTATGATGTTGCGTTTTGCCTTAATAATTTAATTACGTAAAAGCTTTATTACTTCAATTGCAAAAATATTTAATACTTCACATTAAGATCTGCACTCCTACATTCTTAATAAATCTATTTCAAGTATGACTCATATTTCAGAAGAAAAGGCCATTAAATCAATGGATAATTTTTCCTTGGAAATTGTTAAGGATTTTCGTTGCCGCTTAGTTCTTCTGAATCGCAATGTGAATAAAATGTGGGTGTGCTAGCCTTTAATGGAATGAATAAAAAATATGCATGTTTTAAAATATGTTTTTTTTTCTATTATTTTATTTAGAAGTACGATATTTTCACTTTCGAAAAAGAACATAAGAAACCATCTGTTTTTGTGCACTTTCTGATACAATTTATTTATTTTTTTTTTGCAAATGAATAATGATATCACAAAATTTACCTTCGATGAAAAGCAGATAAAATTTAATCGTTTTAATTTTTGTACTTATCAGCGTCATGAAGTTGAAAAAAACCAAAAATCAAAATAATGCTTTGCTTTCAGCTTCAAAACGCTTCCGAAAAAGCTTTCTCTATGAACGATTTCATATAGCTGCGGCTCACAGTGGTTCGGATCGCAAATCTAGCTGGACGAAACTATTTAAACAAATACTCTTTGGTGGATCTTTACGTCACTTCTTATCTAGGATATTTTTGGGTCGCTGATTACAAATCTGAATTCACTTATCAAAAATTAAAAATGGCGGATCCAATATGGCGGACGAAAATTAAAACAAAAATCGGCAATTTCTATGAAACTAGGTAGCTGGGGGTTTTCTGGATCGCTGATTACGAATCTAAGGTCATTTACCAAAAATCAAAATGGCGGATCCAACATGGCAGGCGAAAAATGTAAAAAATCTTTACACTTAACATATGAAAGTGTTTTGATCAGAGATTATACTTAAAACGATTACAAATTTGTTAAAAGTTTAATAAAAATATTTCGCTTTATATTACTATTTATTTTATTATTAATAATCTTAGTTACTTTTTTCATAAAAGTGTAGTAAAACATCGACATTTTTGCGAAAGTTTGCTGGTTTTTCTTTTCAAATATTGCACAAAGTTTGAAACATGTATTGATATGGTTTTTGTTAAAGACTAAAATTTAAGAACACAGCAAGAAACACAAATAAATTAAAAAAAAAAACTATTTTAAAAGCGCTTAAAAATTTGCATGCCTGTTGCATAAAATTTTAATATCAGAAAGCGGAAACTTCGCGAGTTACTATGTTTTTTAAACTCTTACGTAACTAAAGTTTTGACAACTCCAAATAGTTTTAGTTAGTTAGGTAAATTTTCGGTAGCCGGACGGGCAGTATTTTTCGGTTTAAAAAGTTCGTTATATTTACGGAATGCTCGCGGAATGTAGCTCTTTTTATTTTGGTGATCCACGGATATTGTTGAAGAAAATTTATGGAGGTAATATGTTCAATTCTTGTCCAATAAATCAAATTACATAATTGCGTTTAAACGAAAAATATAAATACATTAAATACTAGGGACGTGAACCGGATGAAGAATTTGATTGGTTCGGTTCAGCGGTTCCAGACATTTTTGCACTTTTGGATTGGTCCGTCAAAGCGGTTTTTTTGGTCTTTGAACCGGGGTTTCGGTTCGGTTCAACGGTTCGAAAAACAAAAAAATAAGTGCAACAACGCGCAAGGTTAGGGGTCTAGTGTCAAATGAGATGGGCTGCCTTTACATTATATATTGTCACATGGTAAACAAACGTGCTATGTATTACCATGTTTAACAAAAAGATAAAAGTGGGTACATTTATCGATTGAAAATTGGTTGAAACGAACCTTTAAAGCTTTATGGAAAGTGGTTGGGTTTTCGGTTTGGATCAAGCATTTGTGAAAATTTTCGGTTCGGTTAATGGTTTAGTTAATTAATAGAAAATAGCGGTTTTCCGGTTCAAAACCGATTCACGTCCCTGTTAAATACAGAGGATATTAAAATTTCTAACCCCGTTTGCTTTAATTTCACAAAAAAAAAAATAAAAATACACTCGCTGTCTACACACAAATTGGGATGCATTTGTTTTCGTATGTCATAATCCGAATTTGTTCAGATGAGTGACGCTTTTACTCAGCTAAAGAAAAACACTTCAAAAATCCATAAAAGCCATATTTTTTTTTGGAAGCCTAGAAAATTTCCACTTCGAGATAATCTTAAGAAGCATCAAAATTTATAAATGATAAGCTTTTAATTACGCCCGTATTGGTAAAAACTGCTAAATAATTAAATTGTATGCAAAATAATTTTTTCTGCATTAAACGTGATACACCATAATATTTGTTTGTATGTACATAAATAAAGTATCCTATATGTGTCTATGTGTATTTTATATCTCATTTTTAATGTTTGTGCTATAATCCACAATTTTTTATTTCGTGATGTTTCAGGGTACAAATTGACTTAATTTAATCTGACAACGAATTCCCAGAAGCAATTTTTTCAAAGGGAACGCCAAAGTGAAAACGGATTCATACAAACACCCTCGTTTGAATAATAAACTACAACTTAAAAACCCTGAATGAAATAAAAGAAGACAACGAACTTAATTTCATGGCAAAATCTCTGTGGGATGAGGGGAATAATATACACCTGGCTACAAAACAGATGAGTTGTACCGACAAAAGAGCAACTAAATTTGCAGGTGTAGAGATTCGTCAACAAACACAAGTAAACAATGTACTAAAAACAAAACAGGCAAAAATTGCGATACAAACAATGGAACAACAACTAAGAATGAAAGCAAAAATGGGTGAAAGTTCAACGGAAGTATGTCGCGCTGCTCAAACACCGAGAATACCAACGCTGTTAGCTACGAACAGAGCAATCGTTAGGATAAGCAAACAGAAGGTACAAAATACGAACCCCAACCACGATGTCAAATGTCTGGCAAACAGAGCAGCATGCCATGCTTGCCTCAGCATCAACGCCACTTGCTGTGCTACTTTTCTCTACACAATCTACAATACCATATCCAGAATACCATGGATTTTTCTGCTGCTCTCAGTACTGGCATTCCACATTTGTCAGAGCGGCGTAATAGCTTACAAGCCGGCAGCGAGAACAATGGAACTCCAGCGTGCAATAATCGACCCACACCATCGAGCGTTACGAGCGACGCAATACAGCCAACTGTTATCCACCGATGGACAATGGGCGGGAAATGATAATAACAATAGTTTCCGGCCGATTATCCCCAAGGACATTAGTCCAGAAATTATTGCACAGAATGTCTTTACCCATACGGGTCAGTATCGTGTTTTCCAGCCGGCAACCAGCGATCTACGCATAGCCGTGGCAATGGAGCAGAATGCAAAAAATGTTGTTGATTTTGAAGCAAATACGGGTAGCATGGCTTCAATGGAAGCTCAAACAAATAAAACTAGAGGGAGTGGTGTGAACAACGAAAATAAGCTCGGAACGAAAAACCCCACGACTGAACAAAAAACAATGGCAGAGGCAAAGGTCACAAAGTTAATGACGCAAAAAAAAGATGGCAAGCAAAAAGAAGTGGCAGCTCCACCACTGAAAACACTCGGCAATACAAAATGGCAAAGCGAATACGCAGAACATTCTACACAAATCAGGATATCCGAAAAGGCACTTGATGCACATGAAGGCAAAGCATTGCCATTTACGTCTGCATTAGGCCAATTAACTGCAGAACAAAGAAAACTTACAAATAGCAGCAAAGTACAAACCCCGGTAGCAGCAACGTTTCCAGATGCGGCCCAAAATATAGTCAATGATGATATTAAGGAATTAGAGGCTTTGCTGGTCGAGTATGCAGAGAGTTTCTTCAACAAAGCAGAGTACGAACCATCCAGCGAATTGGTTAATGCGCTTCAAAAGAATCTTACCACAGCCGACGGCTTTACGCTAATAGCAGAGCAACACAAGAAGCGTCCAACCCGGCATGCTAGCGCCAACCCGCATCATCATCACCACCATAATCATCTGCATCATCACCAAAATCTCCTTTTCGAGGGAATTAAGCGCAAAGCCGATGGCGATCAGAGCGTTAACACTCCGCGCGCTGTGGAATCGGGACGACTACTTTTTTTTACAGGTGCGTCATAATATTTATTACACAAATATGTACACGCTTTACATACGTTCCTTTAACTTGTTTATTAAGGTTTGAAAAAGGCGCTCTGGCCCATTTTCATGGGCTTGCAAGTATTAAAATCGCTGCTGTTCGCATTGTTCTTGCCCACATTAATTGGCTCTTTTGGTAAACTTCTTGGTAAAGGTAAGTGAAATACAATTTTATTAAATATTTGTGAGCAAGTTATGTATGTAAGTGTGTTACAGAGAAATGGACATACTACATGTATGTATTAGTAACAGTTATTTAGAAAAATGAGATTACCTAAATCTGCACATATGAAATTTTGTCGTCGGAAGCTTACATTATCGTTTCTGAGTTCCGCGAAAAGCGTACGCTTGTTAAACTGCACTGGGAACAAATGATGTGAAAAAGTCCCACGTGTTCACGATTTCCTTTTTGCTCGAATTGGGGGACATTATTCTGGGTTAGGGTGTGCGGACATGCACAACGCTTGAATATTTTTTTCGAGGAAAAAACTGTGTACTACTGCGAAAAAATTCCGTTTCGCAGTATTTCCATTAAAAAAAGCATTGTTTAAAGGAATTCTCCGTATTATGTGTACCTGTTGTACCAGTGCCGGATTTAATATCTATGGGCCCATATGCTCTTTCCGTATGGCGGGATCCCCTGGGAGTAATACTAAGCAAACTGCGGTCATGGGTCTCTTCCAGATTTTAGTTTTCATTGGGTTTTTCTATACAATCTAAATTTTAAACCAAAAGCAAAAAAAATCTATCCATGTGCAGTAGAGTGGTCCAACAAAATTTTTCCGAGGTAGGGCTTGGGCCATCTTCCAAAATTTTCCCTCTTGCCGAAAGAGGTGCGGATACCAAAGCTTGCGTTTCTAAATTTAAATTTAGAGGATGCTCATGATGCTCGTATTTTATTCTAGAAATATTGTGTATGTACACACAATATTTCTAGAATAAAATCCTTTTAGGCCATGTACATATGAGTAACATTCTTTCCTGCACGCTATTCGAAAAAAGATACAATTGAAATAACGTAATAAAATTTTATTTTAAATACAACTTTAAAAGTTCTGCGAGTACACATAAATTTACACCCACTTTTTCCAGGTATTGTCTCTGGTTCGGCCCCACTTTTCATACGCCCACCAGATACGCCACAAGAACTTGATTTCCGCGACAATGCAATCAATTTCGATGACGATAAATTTGCGATGGTCGATGAAAATAACAAAGAGGATGGCTACGCTTACAATCAAGCAGGTAAGTCAATATTTTTTTTCACATTATTTGCTTATTCGAAATCTATTGTACTTTACAGCGGCCTCTCAAACACACTATACCTACAATGCCGCCGACATAAATCGCATTGAACAGCAGAATAAAATGCCAGATACGTATTTGAGTGCATTGCAAACCATCGGCTCGGCGTCATTTAAAAACTCTGGTTCGCTTTCGGGCAGCTTGTCTGGTGGTGGCCTAGGTGGTGGCGCCGGTCTTGGTGCACCGTTACGCACAAAACCAATTGCGCCAGCCAACACCAACACCTTTCAAACATTCCAAAAAGTACCAGCCTCCTCACTGTTGCTCTCCAACTATGATCCTTTCTACAGTCCGCTTTTGTCGCGTTTGGATTCAGTATTTGCGCAGTTGAAATTAAATTCGGACAAAGAGAATTGTCGCGAGAAGTTGATTTGCTTAATGTATGCGAATCCAGCTAAATATGCGCCATACAGTAATTTGGTTTCGGCGCAGTTGTCGCGGTAAGTTTTTGGAGAAAGGGGAAGTAAAATTAGAAAAGTTTCAATTGAAAATAAAATCTTCAAGACTGTACAGTGAAAATGACAAAGATCGGGACACTATAACTTATAGCCTTCACAGGACTGACTAAGGGGATTTAGTTTAAAAGTTGGACGACTAACACCGGGCAATTTCGTGAGCTATTTTCTAAATAAGCATTCAAAGCTACTGAGAAAATCGTCAAGATCGCATGATAATCTTCATTCAATAAACACTTAATTTTTTTATTAGAAATAGAGGATTTAAATCAATTCTTTTTAACCAGTTTCATCAAAAAAAAAAAAAAAATAAGCTCATTAAGTTCCTCGAGCGCCCAGTGCATTTCCGCAAATGTCGCAAGTGCTTAAAGCTAGTACCTTTTTTATATCTTCGCATACTCGTGCACAAATGAGGTGTTTATCCTCATACTTTCACACTTTCAAAAACGCTGGCAATACCCACGAACTCCCATCACATGTTTTTGAAAGAAATGTTACTCATACGCCACACCGAACGCGAGATTCCTACATTGTTTAACGACAATATTTTCGAACGCCAAAATGTGGCTTAATTGGATTGCTATGTATGTTTATGTTCAGGATGTGTAGTTACTTTTTCACTCACACATTCAAACTTCACTTGATTCTTAGTCATTGCAATTCGCTGTGGTATTTGCTTAGGGGATTTATGTAAATACAAAGCTCATTGAAATACTTGGATGAAAGGAAGGAAGGAAATGATTGCGTATGCTTTGTTCTATTTTTGGATAGGAAAATGTTTGGATTTTTGAGGTTTCATTTCATTTATTTTTTTGCTGCCCCTTTTCAAATTTGCATGCGATGTTTTTCTTTTTCGTTTTTGTTTTTATGTTTACTGATTTTTTCGTATTCTCTCTCTTTCAGCGAATTGAATGAACTACGCAAACCAACATCCGATAATCCAGATATTCTACGTTTTTTCAAGTACATGCGTGCTGCTAAGGATGGTCAGGATGGTGTAGATTGTGAGAAATCGTTTGATCAATGTACAGAATTTAAGGATTTCGAGAATCCTGCAATGGTTTCAACATATCATGATATTAACAAATTGGTGCAGGCACGCAAGTTGGCGTAAAACGTTTAGAGTAGAAAGTATACAAAAAACATTTATATATGTAGCATACAAGCCTTATGTAAATTAAAGTGTTAAGTGAGTTAAAGTGGGTGAAAGACCTTTACTCGTTTTGAAGTCAACTGCTGAGCGCACAGGATAAGCGACTCATTTATGTATGTAGATATATTTTTTTTTTTGTGTTTAGTCAAAAGTAAATTAGAAACTTATACTTATATGTAGCCATTTACTTATGCGAAATGCAGTTTATACTTAAGTTTTGTAAATAAATTTAAGTAATGTATGTATGTATGTTAAGTGATACGCAGATTTAGTTAGACATTATTATTTATTGTAACGATACTTCTACTCGACAATTCAATTTTTGAGAGAAACGAAAATCATGTTATTTTATTGCCTAATGGAAATTGAAAAAAGAACATAGCTTCTCCTGTCAATGGACAAATATAATGGCTAAGCACTAAGCAACACAGCGAGCATTTTAATAAAATTAATTGTAATTATGAAATTCAGTCTTGCTTTGTGCAGAGATCTTACTGCGGTTGTGAGTTTAAGGTTAGTAGTGATGCTATTTACGCCCTACCATAATAAAAAATTGAATAGTTATACCAGAGTTAGGGAATTTCTAGAAGTGTTAGGTGAAAATTTTGCACCAAACTTACTCTTTCCTTCTTCTTTATTTGCGCTGTAAGCGTATAAGCGATTTGGATCGAGTACAATTGAGTACGACAGTTGTTTCCCTTCTATGCCCACTAACACCTACTTCAAATTCGAAGTGAGGCCAAGGCCTGCTCCGCATAGCCTTTCCTCTTTCACAGCCAACGTTGAATACCTCTTCTACATCGTTTGTAGTGAATTTAAACAAAGCAGCAAAAATGGCCTACGGGACGTATGAGTGATACAAACCATGCCCTGAATCGATGATACAAATTTATTCTGAGTTTCGTCAGAAAAAAAAAATCACCCGAAAAAAATACACGAAAACAAAAAAAAAAAAAGTGAACCGGTTCGGGGAAAATTAAACTCATAAAAAGGGCCATTTTTAAAATAGATTTTCAGGAAGTGCTGTAGACCAAATAAATAAATAAATAAATAAATATAATAAAGACTTTCTTAGCAGAACCGCAACAAAAAACTTTAATATAAAAAGTTCCACCTCGTTTAGTGTCTGCAAACTTTTACACGCCTAAGGACATATAAAATCAAACGACGCGTGACTTGCAAAAATCAGTGTATGTACGCAAGTATTTATGCGCACAAAACGTATTTGTATAAATTGAGCAATACATGGCTGCCTGGATACGATGAAGTTGATGAGTACGAATCAGTAGAATAAAGAGCGACGTGAATGAGTTTATTTGATGAAATGAGTTTATTTCCAATAAAACCGCATACGTCTAAATCGGTAAAGTTTTTGCTGAGTTGTCCAAGGTTTTCTTTTATTAATCTTTGAAAAAAGTTCAATGGCGGCATCAAGAAAATCTCATTATTATGATTCCGTTCAAAATTTTTATATATTTTTAGTATCGCGCACTGCTAACTACTAACAAATAAATTTCAAAATACTTTTATTTGATATTTTAAATGTTTTCAACATTTTTCGTTTGATAAATATTTCAAAATTTGTATTTCAACTCTATTATTTACTAAATCCATCACTCTAATTAATTGTAAATTTTTTGTATTAAATTTTTTTTATTGCTGGCAACACTATTGAGAAATATTCCTTAGGCAATGATTTCCTAAATACTTTACGTTTGGCACCAATTATCTTATGAATCTAATTTTTGGAACAGGTGACAAACGTCTCCAAAAAATGCCCCTTGACTTTGCGGTGTGAAATATACTTGGCGACCTATCATTATACCTACCAAATCTACAAAGAAAAAAAAATCATATTAATCGTCAAGCCGTTTCGGAGGACTTCGAAGAAGTTCTGAATTCGAAGCAAATCGGACTATAAATACGACTTTCAAATATCTCAAGTTCTGCACCACCTATCGGGAAATGTTTTTTGTGGAGTTTTTCCCATTAAAATATCCTATGAGTCTATCGGATCAAAACTATTGCATTGTCATCGGGCTGGGAGCTAAGTTTAAAGTTTAAAGTTCCTAGCTCATCGGTAAGTCGGTAAAAAATTGATTGCAAGATTTGATTACACACAGGTGAAACATAATAAAAGCTTGTAAAAAGATGTAAACGTGCTTTTATTGTATCTAGTATTTATTAGGAAAAAAATTACTTAAAAAATAAAAATTGCAATTTATGGATTTTTACTATAAAACAATTACTAGTTAATAGTTTCTTTGTTAACGTGCCATCGGTATACCAACTACATAAAGGCATATGTATGTATTAGGGATGTTAATTTTTCGGCTTTTTCCGATCCGATTGTTGGTGCGCCAAGGCGTACTTTTTATTTCAGAAGCACCGGCAGGTATCCCAGTCACGGTGTATTTGGTTGTTTGTGACATAAAACGAATCGTTCAAAATCATTTTAAGATTTTTTAATTGGAACCTTTGAAGTATATGTTTCTTTAAGTTTTGGGTTCAGTAACCAGTAATATGAATAACAAAATGACTGGCGCACTTTAAGGGATTTGCCCAAAATCGCTTAGGCGGTTACTGCGTCAATCAAGAAATAAATAGTTAAATATATGTATACGAAAAAGGGCTTGCAAAATTGATCTGATGAAACTGCACCAGGATTGAGGCGTCTTCTCTTGGAATTTGAATACTTGATTTCACTCGAACTGAAGTGCAGGGCGCAAACCTTGGATGGATGCAGTCAGTGGAACACCACACGCATTCGTCGATTCCCCTTTCTGTGTAACATCTTTCACACACACAATAAACATACCTTCCTCTTCCATGTGGGTAGTTCTGCGTAAACAGCTCTTTATTTCCTAAAAAAATTATTTTTGGAATCGCAATAAAAAAAATTGTAATTTTAAATATGTACATTTATAATGTTGCTACTGTAAAACGGGTTAATGCAATGAGAAAACTGAGTCAAATGGGCGTTTTGAAAATAAATATGTCATACATTGATTTCATTTTGTTTATTACACTACGATGGGTAACAAATGCAAAAGGAAATTTCTTTAGAATTAAAAAAATTAAATTTTTTGGATTCACAAGGACGACAAAGCTGACAAAGTTAGAAGAATGAAACTCGAGGATGTTATCGGGTGTATATAAGCCCTTAACATATAATGTTTTCAAAAACAAATATTGCGAAATTTCAAGGATAAAATTTTAAAATGACCAGTAACTTAAATAGCGCGTTGTTATATGTATAATGAGCTAGACATTAATAAAAAAATAATAATTTTTAAATAAAAAAAGAAATATAGCCCATACTGGTCATATTTCCATCAGTGCCATATACAAATCCCGAAAATCCCGGGATTACTTGTCAAGAGTCCCGGGATTTTCGAGACTTAAAAAAGTTCTAGTATGTATGTACGTATGTAAATACTTTTCTTCATTAAATTTCCGTCGGTTATTCCAATTTGATTTAAATTTAAAAGAATTGCCAATATTTTCGATTTATTCATGCGAAATATTTAATTCATTGGAAATTTGTTCTTATTTGCTGTTTTTTGTAACTAATATACAATTGAATGAATACAATTACTACAAGCAATTACTAGTTAATAGTTTCTTTGTTAATGTGCCATCGGTATACTAATTACATATATAAAGGAATGTGTATGTACATATGTATGTATGGAAATACTTTTCTTCATTAAATTTCTGTCGGTTATTCCAATTTTAGATCATTTCAAGGAAATGCTAATATTTTCGATTTATTCATGCGAAATATTTAATTCATTGGACATTTTTTTTATTTGCTGGTTTTTTGTAACTTATATGCAAAAGTGAAAAGTGAATTTTATACTCAAGTAACTAAAATTGTTTGGGGAATGATAAACTAAATTAAATATAGAAGCACCAGAGTTACCTATCCACTCTAAGCTATTCAGAAGGCTAGATATTGCTAACATAAATTTATTTCAGGGACCTAATGAAGTTTTTTTAGATGATAAACCGTTTCATGGCAAAACTTTGCCATTATCTGCCGAGACGGAGGGCGTACATATGTACATACCAGAGACACAAAAAGCATTTAAACATTCATTTGCATATGGGTTTTCATAAGCTTAAAGATGACTATGATGTGCAGTTAGAATAAAAAAAGAATGGTGCCTGACCATAAAAATTATATTTTTTGAAGTTTTTTGAAAATTTTAAAGTTTACACAATTTTTGACCTAAAATACGTCTTACGTTTCGGTGTGGATGCCATGCTCAATTATTGTAGTTGTAATTTTTAGAGCTTCAAAAAAAAAAACGCTTAGAGTACAACTCTCAGCTTTCAGCAATGGTTGTACTCTCTCTTATTGCACGAGAAGTAATGAAGCGATTTCAAAGAAAAATGCGGCATTAAAAAAAAATCCTAAGCTTTCCGTAGACGTTTATGGCTTACTTTGGACTCAATTTTGAACCTTTAAAGTGCTCTAGCAACTTAGGTTTTGCACATATAACTTTCATTTTCGGGATGTAAGTTCTTCAGAGCAGTAGAAATATTAATGTATACAAATTTTATATCAATTTACCAAAACTTTTGCATTTTAAGGCAAAAAGTTTTTGAAAAAATTTTTTATTTATTTTTTATTTTTTTTTCATTACCAAAGTGCTCGAAAATTCAAGTTTTCGTTTGGTATATCGAAATATTCTGCAATTAGATGTAATTTCTAAATGGTAAGTGCTCCTCCAATGATTGGTTTCATAGGGCTTCGGATACCTTCATCTTTGAAGTAGTAAAGAAAATTCGCTTAAGTGCTTTTATCGGTTAACCTCACAAGTTTTTCGTGCAAAGAAAGATGGGCGGCTAGGCAAAAAGCGCAGGTGAAGGGAAATATTTACAAGCTGATCACAGCATATGGAAATACATAGTAACTTATGTATATACATACATATTATATATGCACATATATATGTGTACGTAAATAATACGCAAAAGCTTTTTTATCATATCAGATCTGTACCGTTCGTTGGATTTAAATAAAAGGAGAAACGATATATTTTTCGAAAATCGATGCCACCGGATTAATAATTTAACTTAAATTTTTAGTAGGTTAAATATATTACTACATTATGGGTATCGATCGAAATGGTTTTGAAAAAGCTTTATTTGAAAAAAATACGCAAAAGTGTTGCCATCTGTTTAAAAACTCAAGTTAAACTTAAATTAAGGCAGCCAGAAAATTGAAATATGTATCATTATATGGATGTCAGGCGAAGAAGGTTGTGGTTTGAAGGCTGGACTCATACTTTTTT